AAAGTTTTTGTATTTGGTGAGGATTAAATATGTACAGCCACGGAAAAATTAATGAACAAAGTTATCGCAGTGGTTTAAGTTGTTGAGGAAGACCCTTGCGCTGCGATTTCCAGGCTCGGTTTCGTAGGTGAGGCGAAGAAGTGGGAAGTCAGATGGGAAGAATAGTGTAAGGCACTTGCGGAAACACCAAATAAAAGTGGCGCACAAATTGATGGCTAATTCACGCACCCAGCTAATGCATCCTAAGGATAGGGTTGGCTACCTCGACAAAAGGGAAGTCATCTACAAAATCTCATGCGAAGCTTGTGATACGGCATATTGCGGCCAAGCACGAAGATACGTCTCCACACGCATCCACGAGCACCAGTTGGCAGTAAAGAGATGTGACCATTTGTCCGAAGTGGCTATGCATTACCTGGACACTGGATACACCTTTGAATGGGACAAAAAACGCATTGTTTGCCCTCCAAAAAAGGCCGAAGATTTCTTGAGATTATGCACTCCGATGATTCATGCATCAATCGGCGTATCGAGTTGGCTGGAGTGAACAAACATCTCAAAGAAAAGTGGAAAAGACTACGGCCAATAACTATGGAGCAAAATGAACCGCAATTAGCACCCATACCGGATGACCCGGACTGACCCCCGACCGACGGAATTTACAGTTGCCAATTATCCACTACGCCCTTGCGACTGTTAATTATGCCCACCACGGCGTGACGCAAATTGCAGCTAACAATTATTGCCCACACTAAAAGGCTATATAAATGTACGAGCACTTTGAAATGTTAATTGTTCTTTGCTCATTTTCTCAAGTCTGACGACGACCTGGGGAAAATTTACCGAATAAATTTTCCTTTTTTAGCAAAAGTAACTTATGTAGGCCCACTCATATACCCCTAGTCCCAGCATTTTGTCCTGCAAAAGCGGTGGTTGTAGAGTTTTAGGGGGTGGGGAAATAGGATAGGCAGAGAAGAAAATTTTTAGAAGGTGTAAAGTGAAAAAATGCAGTCGAAGTTGCTTCCCGCGGCCGCTGGGAGTGAGTAGTTTCGCATGTAAATCGAAGGTGTGCGCGGCGCTTCGCGCCGCGGACTATATCAACCTAATTCCAGAACGGTAAGTTGGACCTCAGGTAAGTTGAAGTAGACAACCTCCTAACCACCAGTTCATTTTTTCGGGAAATCCAAGAAACCTACAATTTGATAATCGGATTTTTCCGCAATAATTTAAAGGATAATATAGATCGGGAAAATCTGCAGATATAAATCAACAACACTTCTAAATACAGTAAAATAAAACTGCATTTAGCATTTATCAAAGTATATTCCACTGCGTGTCCTAATTCCCCGCCCATAAATTAAGCATGTATTAAGGTATATTAGACTGCGTGTCCTAATTCCCCGCCCATTTGCATTTATTAAAGTATATTTCCACTGCGTGTCCTAATTTCCCGCCCATTAAACCCTCATTTATTAAAGTATATTCCACTGCGTGTCCTAATTTCCCACCCATAAAACCCTATAACCACCGTTTTCGTCCACTGCGCATCCTAATTCCCCACCCATAAAACCCTATAACCACTGTTTTCATAGGGAACAGGCAGGGAGTAGGGATTAAGAGAGAGAGAAGAGAGAGAAGAAGAATGCTATATTGAGGATTTTACAAACCTGAATTTTCAG